TTCTAAAGCTTGTAAAACTTCACGACATACAGCTGCGATATGTCCTTCTTCCATGATTGTTTCTGTAACAACATCTGTTAATGATCCACCTGGAAGATATTCCATAACAACCTAAATTACATATAATAAATAAAACAGATATACAAAAAAGAAAAATCTTTATTAAAATAGTCACAAGAAATTTTGCTATCACGTGAAAATAGCAGTGGCTGATTTTCGTAAGTTCTGAATTTCTGGAACTCTCAAAAGTGTATCTTCACTCACGGAAAAGTGTGAGTGTGGATTTCGGTTCTCTCTACAGTCACAACTACACACACATTTGAAAATCTACGGGTATCACTGTAGTTATTTAAAACTTGTGGGTGATAAAGCATGCCGATATCAATCTCATTTAAAACGCTAGGATTAATGTGTTAGTTAAATTTCAAAAAAAATTTTTGAGTTTCATAAGTTTAGAATTCATGGAATCATCCGGACACGTCTTGGTAAAAAGTACCTATACTTTGATCCTTCAGTTTCATAGTTTGACCACAAATAGAATATGTTGAACTCTGATCGCAAGAACTAACCAGAACTTGATCGACCATTATCCAAAGAAGCTAGAAAGTCAACATAGATTTTTTCTTTAGACGAGAAAATCTCAACATAGAAATCTCATGAAGTTAGATCACTTATTCAATAGGTTAGTGCTGCCTATATCATCGACGAAAATTTGATGCCAAATGATGTTAGTTTGCCTGATTTATGAAGTCATCTTTGGATAATGCCCATATGAGAGTTGATGGAAATCATCGAAAAGTGAACAACATTCTCCGACTAACTTTAAATATTAATAAGTGTCCTTTTCTAATCAATTTTTTCCTCAAAATTTCACGATTGCAACCATCGATGGAGAAGGGATCCATATTGAGGCGGTGTCACACAAGGGAAACTTTCCTGAACCTCAAGATTATAGTGAATTGAAGTACCCTATCTGCGACACAATATAGACATGCGAATATTTATTTGTTAATAAGAAAATGGAGATTAACGCATTTAAATAGTGACAAATCAGAAAGATGTCAAGAAAAGTCCTTTTTTAGATCCTAGAAAAAAAATCAGTATTTTTATCATAAATCCTTGGCATTAAGACCTATCGATCTTTGGTTGCTGCTTGCGATCAGCGTTTACGAAGCTCTATCTGTAGTCAAAATATTAGGTAAAAGGATTGATGTTTAGGCATTTGTGACTCAGTAGCAGGACTTCTTGTGACTACTGTATTTCTTTTTTTTTTGTGTTATACCCAAAGCTCTTCATCAAGTAAGTAAGAATCTTTATAATTAACAATATTTATATGTCGATTATGTTTCATAACAGCTATTTCGTTAATGATTAATTCTTTTTTTGGTTGATTAGCTAAATTCATTTGTTTGATAGCAACTTCTTCACCTGTTGCTAATTCATATGCTAATAGTACTGTTCCACTAGCACTAAGAAAGAAAAATACATTTTTTAATTATTCAAAAAAAAAAAAAAAATCTTACCCTTGTCCAATTTTATCTTTACTTTTATATTTTCTATTTGGATCACCATGTGAAACAATTAAACGTAATTTTCCATAGATTTCTTCATCACTTAATTGTTTTCGTTTCGATTTATCTCCATTTGTTGGTACTGATTTACTATGATCGTCATCAATTGGTCTTGTATACTAAAAATAAATGAGATTTTCATTGCAATATTTAATCTTATAAAAATCAAGACTTTAATTCTATAATTAATGAATGAAATGATCAAATTTCAAACGATCTTTCGAAAAACGATATTTATCACTAAACAAAAGAGATCTCTTAATATACCAAAATTGAATCAATTTAATATGCAATTTTATCAATTCATTTGATCTCGATACTTTCGCAAATGCTAAAAAAGAATTTCCTGAAAGAGAACTATTGATACAAACAAAAAAGCTCAGTTATTAGAAAACGAAATGAAATTAAATGACCGACAATTTTTGATGGATCGAAAAAATTAGCTCTATGTTCTAACAAGAGCAGCACGTGCGTCTTTTACATGTCACACATGAATAGCTTGTCTAAAAAAAAGAGACCTAATAAAATAACAAAGATAAATGTCGTATTGTCGAAAGTTATAGGCAATAATTTTTATATGAAGTCATTTTAGTGAGCTTTTCAATATAATGTCTTGCACTCCCTCCTAACTGTCTCCAAAAACAACTTGTGAGTTCAAACTCTGTACAAATCAAGCTCTTAATGAGGTTAGTTTATTGTGAAAATGTCAGATCTCTCATTTTCTCCTATTTTGAGATACCAATATTGAAAGTCCGATACTATTATCACAATAAACTAGTGCTCATTCAAAAATTAATTTGTACATTTTGCTGATCAATTCACAAAAATAACTATAACTGAAGGTCTATGGGCATGAATTCTTTAAGATTTTCTCAAGTCTCAATATCACCTATCTAATGAATTAAGACTGATTTGACAAAAAAAGATTTATCTCTTGTGAAAGATCCTTTATCAGTCGTACATAGCCTTACACCCAACAATTGTGTTCATTTGTCTTTTGATGAAAACAATCTCATAATTATCGAACTACGTAACTGCAGAAATTTTCCGCAAATATAAACTTTAATCGAGAAGATTTCACTAGGAGATACCAATAAGAAAAGTTGAATGTCAACATTTAGGTAAGTACTAAGACAATCATTAAAAATTCAAACTCATCATTTTAGGTTTCTTTCAACTTTTATGTTCTATCAAATGGATGTCAATAGTTTTTATCACCAAAAAAAAAAAAAAAAAAAACTTCTGATCATCAACTTTTTTCCGTATTATTCTTTCGCAATAAAATGTAGGTGCTGCTTCAACAGTTTTTCTGCAACACACATGAACTCCATTCACTAATTTCTTTTAATCATATATTAATTTGTTGAATCTCTGAAAACAAAGTGCTCAACGTGGATCAGAAGAACAGAATTGGAAAAGAATTTTTTTGACATTTCGCTAAGGATAACTAAAATTCTGTAATCTTTCTTTCAACCTGTTCGTTTCGTTCTAAACATATATATATATATCAGAGATGGTATTGATTTAGATTTTTCAAAATTTAAACCGAAATTGATTTGGGATATTGCGAACTGAACCAATCCTATATCTGATGCGTATCGTGTAGAAATATTCAAGGAGAGATAATGATAAATCACAACTTGAAAGAATTGGTGTTCAAAAGTGTCTTTTACTCCTATTATGTAATGCATTAGATCATTCTTCGTTTGTTCAGAAAAACAGCAGACCTTCTTGTATGTTTATATTGCATAGGATAATCAATGAAGTTAGTGTTATGTAAGAAGAAAAAAAATCATTAGGATGTCCATGAATTAGGGTGCATGTCTAATGATGAAATGTCTAACAGTACTATTGCTCTCTATTTCATTCTTTTAATTGGTAATCCAATCAATGAAAATAAAAAAAAAAAAATATATATATACAATGCTTTTGGTTTTTTCTGGTCTTGCAGCAATAGGTGGTGGTAATTGATCATTCTCATGACGATTTGAGATTTGTTCATGTGACTAAAGAAAATCAAAAATATTCTATGAAATAAATTTGTAATTTTTTTGTTTTTTTACTGATATTGATTTATCTGGAACAAGAATAACTGTTTGTCGAAATTTATCGGCTAAATCACCGGATATAGGTGGTGTTAAATCTAGAAAAATAAAATAGTTTTATTTTTGTAAAGTTAATTATAAAATTAAAAAAAAAATTTTACTTTTATAAGATGAATACATAAATTTTGATTCTCGTTTTTGTGTAGCATGTTGATAAAAATCTAATGCATGAATAACAGCTTGTGGATTTTGTTTTTGTTCTTGTTTAGTTATCTTTGAATTTTGTAATAAACTTGACCAAATTTCTGGCATACCATCAAATTCACCTGTTGATGAATTATATGTTACATGAATTGGATGATTAAAATTTGTTGGACGAGATATTGTTAATTTTGATGGATCTTTTTTTGTCCAATCTATTCAAGTTTCGAATAGAAAATATAAAAGTAAAGAATAAATTTTGTTTTTTTTTTTACCTTTACTATTGGTTTTTTTCTTTTTATTTAATTCATCATCTGGTCGACGAGGAAGAGGTTTCATTTCAAGACTAAATATTAAATTCAAAAAAAGAAAAATCAATTATAGATTTTACCCTGAGATTGAATCGACACGTACGGGTGGCGGTGGTGGCCGCTGCTCGTTTATTGTCGATATCTGGAAGTACATTGATAGGAAATCTATTCAATACAAATTGATCCCATAAATAAGACAATGATCCATAGTTTATCCTAACAAAGAACATTACTTAGAAGGATAAATAAACGTATTGTATTTGTTTAATGGGATTAACCAATCGATCAACTGTCTGATTAGTGATTTTATTTAAACAAAACAGAAGTAAAATGTTCAATATAACTAACAAAAAATAGTTTGAAAATTTTGAAAACAATATTTGATTTATCTAAGTAATATTTCAAATTTTTTTATAGAACATTATTAAAAGGAATTGTTGATAATTTGAACTTTAGACGATATAAGTGACATCTGTTCTGAACTATACTTATTCATTCGAATGTGATCGTTCTATCAATCACATTCAATAAAATCATTATCAATAAGTTTGAGATATATTGCTTCAATTAAGCGATTTATTTAGTCTTTAAAGATCGTTTTTGATACTCACTAATATATGAGCAATATCTTGATCATGATCATATCAACTTAAAATTCTAGTTTAGTGATGTAAAATACTGTTTGTACAGAATCTTAAAAAATGAACTTCTCGAACTGAACATATATATATATATATATATATAGATAAAGCACTCAATATTGATATTTATTAAATTTTTCATGTATTTATTTTAATCACAAAATAAAATTTTTTTTTGTTTTACAAAAAAAAAAAGATAATAAATTTTTGAAAGAAAAAAAAACCAGTAATTTAAAATTTCTCAGGATTTTCTTCGATATCAATAGGATAGTCGTGGATAATAACTTTTTTCTCTTCATTAGCTCGTACAACATATAGGAACATAAATGTCATACTAATATCCGAAAATAGAAACCAAAGAAAGCTTGGTCCAAAATATTGTGACCAAAATGGACCCTCTGATTTACAAACACGGTCAGCACCATATGTTGTTGCATATAAACCAATAGCTCCATAGATTCCACCAACAAGCAGAAGTGGTAAAGCACGACAATTTGATTTAATACATAATTGTGTAAGTAAATAAATAAAACAACAAACTGATATAGTTCCTATATAAAGAACAAGAAATATCCAAGACCATTGATTTAATATTCCTAAGCTCCATAAAACAAAAACAGTAAAATATGATGTAATAAGTAGAAAATGTGTACAAGTTGATTTTGGATTTAAAAATTTAATATCACATAAACCACAAAAGAGAAAACTAATAGCAATATTGGTTGTTAAACCAGCATCAATAATTGCAAAAAGTAATTGTATAAATAAATTTGAATCAGCATCGTTATGTCGAAGAGTATGTGATAATTTTCGTGGATCACCTAAAAAACAATGTAATATACCAGCTGATGTCATCATTATACCATATAGAAAAAATGTTAATTGATAAATCCATCGTGTTGGAAAATTTCCAGATAATTTAGAAATTTTTTTAGAACAATAAAGACCAATTAATAAAGCCAAAATACATATTGGAATAAATGTAGGATTTTGTATACAAAACTTATATCCATCAATATCATTAAAACACCATTTAACAAATGACGATGGACATGAAGAATTACTTAATGTATTACGTCCGAATAAATAATCTTGTATATGTGAAAAATATTTCATAAATTTCATCATTGTTGTTATTTTTTATTCTTCAAGTCTATGACGAAGTTGAAAATATACAACTGTATATATCTATATGTTTCTTATCAAATGATAATAAGGAACTCTTCTTATCTTATAAGCACGTTTTATATTGCAAAAAACAAATAGTGATAATTTTTAAAGTACACTTTAAAGGGCACATGATGTTGATTGTTATCTTAAAATATATAGTAATTTTTATAAAAACATATACTCATTTATAATAATAAATTGTATTTTATCTAATTAGATTTACTGAAAATAGTCTATTGTTGATTTTTTTGAAAATTAAAGTGACAAAAAAAAAGTCATATCTTCTCCTTTGTTTGTTTTCTTTTCGTACGCAATAGTGTTTCTCTCTATTGTTTGTCTTCAACTTAACAGGCTTCCAAAAAACAAAACATTATTTTTCGAGCATCCAGTCCTGATAAAACTTTCAGTGAATGTGTATCTCAAACTTGACATCATCTCACAGTAAAAATTTCAGCTCAATACATTGGGTCTATGAAGAGTTAGCTTAAAACTATCGGTCAAAATATAGGTGTCCGTGTATCATAAATTTCTTCACCATTTCAAATGCTAGAAAGTTCGAGTTGGTTTTAAAACATAGCCAAGACACGGCACTATAACTTAACAAAGTCCGATTTTTCGGTTTAAGTTTCGACACTTAAATTCGAGAATTTTTTTTCTCCATAAACCGATATAAAAAGAATCTTTAAGTAATTTGTTATAGGTCAACGAATTATAAATCACAAAATTGATAAATTTGACCGAAATTCACTTTTTTTTTTCTGAGAGATGGATACCCTTAATATTATCTTGCCATCTATTTATTAAATATGAAGAGAAATACTTAATAGGATTGATGCGAAAATTTTCTTTTGTCTCTTATGAGAATTTGTTCAATGTTTCCATGCTTTTGAAAATATTATGAAATTGAAATATTTGAAATTCTATCTGGAATTGTATAGTTATATTTTCATAGTGGATTGATCGGATTGAACTTGAAACAGAACAACAATTCAAGAAATTTATTCAATCAAAAATATCAAAAACGATAAAAATTTTATTTTGAATTATCTTTATGATTTGTTTTTTTATAAATCAAATAGGGGACTATAATTTTTTTTTTCGTCATCATTGTAAGACAATTTGATTTCTTGCTTGATTTGATTAAAATTTTCATTGACAAATGAATAATGTTTATATGATATTCTCTTGAAACCTTCAATATTTATGCATGTATTAATTATGTTCATCTCTCATTTTCATGATTTTTGCAACATGAAAACATTTGATCATAAAACTCAATGATTTATCTATGGAAAGAACATACCGAGCGAAGAATATGGGAGTGACTTCCCCTTAAATCTTGCAAAGTTTTGATAGTAACGCACTGCCTCATAATCAACAAATCTCACTAATTCTAGCCTTTGATATGAGCTAACACTAGGAATTCAATAGTTCAAACTTGCATGTTACCTGATAGAATCCGTAACATAGAGTTATCACGCAGTTCTACTCTTTTCAAAATAGCTCTTCATCAACCAGGCATTTTCTTCGATAGCGATACTATCATTGTTCTTATTAAGAGAACTCATTACAAATTACCGGCATATCAATCAATTTTGATTTCATTTATAATTCATTTCTATTTTATCCTATTGACATCTTTGTACATATGTAAAGTATATTTTTCAACAACTATATTCATTGATAAATACTTACTATTCACAAAATTTCAATATTCTTTCTATTTCTTATTTATTTGAAAAATTCAATTATTTATATTAATATCTGATATCTAACTAATCTTTTTATAGGTGCAGAAAAACAAAGACACAGCATTACGTGAATAGTTACACAATGATCAAGAAAGAACGATACAAACATTCAGAATTTGTCATATATTCATTAACGTTGATGAACTGAACTACCACGAATTGTTGAATTTCCTCGTGGATTAACCATTGATTCGCGTAAATCGTGCTAGAAAACAAAAAAGAAAAATTTAGTCTTCGTTTTTCTTTTTTTTATTCTATTGAATAACTTACTGCTGGAGAAGTACGACTAGTACTAGCGGAAGAACGATTTTTGGCACGTAATTTATTGAGTTGATTTTCAGCTGTATCAGCTCTTCCAGTTGCATCTTCTACAAAAGATTTTAATTATAAGTATTTTATTTTTCTATTTAAATCTTTGTCTCGTATCAGAAATCCAAATTTTTTGTGTAGACTAGCTGTTTTAGAGTTTCATACATAGTTGAGCAGCCTAGGTTCCTATTTTCGAATGTAATATTGATTAGTTGGTTTTTACGACAATATATGAAATTGTGCAGGATTGCTCCTGAACAACTCACAATTGAGGTTCTCTATAGGTTTGCAGCATAGAGAACATGACAAGTATACATCAGTAAATATACATTACATATCGTTGCACATCTTACAAATCAATTTTCTTGAAGACCTGGATAATGAACAAAAACTTAATCTTCGCCGTTCAGAACTAATTCGTGTCGTTTTTTCCTCGAAATGAATTTTTATATTCTCTGTCGCTTGTGCGTCTCTGTTTCTCAGTTATTTTCAATGTTAGAAAATTCATGAAGATTTTCAAACTCAAGAGAAAACTATGCTCTACAATTAAATCGAGCAGGATCATTATTCATTGTTCATACGGGTTGTGAAAAAGAATGAATTATTTCTAAAACAAATGTTGACAATGTCTTGATGTTAACCCAAAATTTGTATCATTAGATTTGGAGGAGATATCATCCTAAGACTTACTTCTTGATTCTTAATAGAAGGATAATGTCCGAACTACTCAATATGTTGGACTGTATTTCTTACTGTAAACTTTCTTGACTTAGTCTTACATCTTCTGAACATTTCAATTGGATTAATTTCTGAACGAGAAAACAATAGGTTCATGACAGAGAACTTAATCAACATACCAAGTTCAGATTGAACTTTACGAAATTTAGATAAATTAATTCCAGCAATTTCTTCTAAAAATAAATAATAAGTTTTAAGAAAAAATATTATTTTAAAAGTCTTTTTTTTTTTAACCAGCTTCTTCAACTTGACGTTTATAGATTTTAATTTTTTTTTGCAATTTTTCATTGAAATCTTTTAAATTTAATTGATTTTTTCGATCTTCTTCTACTTGACATACTAATTCTTTCAAACGACGATCATTTTTACGTAATTCTTTAAGTGTTTCTTGATGACGATGTTGTTCTAATTCATTTTCATTCTCTAATTCATGAATCTAAATCAACAACAACAATAAAAGAAAAATATTTTCTCTAAAACTTAATATAAAAATTCTTACACGTTGTTCAAGTTTAGCAATAACACGTTTTCCACCTTTAAGTGAATTTCCTTCAGCTTCATCAAGACGTACTTGAAGATCTTTAACTTGTTGTTCAAGACCTTTACGTAATCGTTCAACATTAATAACATGTTCTTGTTCTTGACGTAATTCTTCGACAAGACGTACAGCATCAGTACCTAATATTCATCATATTAAATGGATATTATGTGAATTTACAAAAAAGATAATTTCATTTTACATTTTCTGTCATAAGGATAAACGATCTACTTAGAAAATCGTTCGATATATCAATAAATAATAGGATGATATTAAAATTACTGTTTTTCTTTTTAGGTTTCTTCTTAATTTTGCTGTTGATACATAGTATCTGCCAAATGGTGATATGAAGCACTTTTTTCATGATTAATTTAAAGATATGAGTAATATGAGATCAAGTTTTGAAAAATAATGAGCTAACTCATTCGATATGTCGTACTTTGGTATCTGCTATCGAATGAAAATTTTTTTTCCTTTTGTTTAAATAACTAAGAAGCTACCAGAAAACAGATGATATTTGCTCATATGCACTGGACATTTTTCCATAGATCAAATGGACATGTGTTTTTTTTTAATTTAGGAAGACTTTATCTTTCGCTCACTATAATTCTAACATCTGTCGACTGTTAATATAATCTGAAAAAATCCAATTCTATAAAACCTATTTTTACTGAAAAATCACTATTAGAGACTCTTACTCTATATAAACGTGGAAATTGTGTTTATAAGAAGACTAATAAATTATACATCATTCGATACTGATTTCAAATATGAAGTTAGTCTTCAATAAAAATGTTTCTATATCGAGAAAAATGAGTTTTATCTTGAAAATCGTTAGTTCAGGTCTGAAACACTTATACGAAAGCTATATAGATGTTATGAATGAAGAGATATTCTGTGAACTGTTTCGTCTAATTTGGAGTTGTAGAAAATTAAACAAGGATTCTAATCCTTACCAGCGGCATTTTTCAACTAATGCTAACAAGAGGAACTACGATTTTTATCTCATTAAATAACACATAGGTCGGAATATTGGCTTCACTATTTAAATCATTAAAAAGTACACTTTCAATTTTTAATCTAAGGTCTTCCTGGATATTCACATTGTAATAATCAATGAAATTGTTATTAACATTTTATTAGTGCTATAGGAAAAGCCGGTAGACATTTTAATTGAACTTTCTTTTCAACTCAATGATATGCCATTTCTATGTATATCTCAATTAGTAGAAACTGTCAAAAGCAATTATTCGTTCCGAAGCGAAAATTATTCTGTTGATTAATTTATCTTTCATTTTATGAATCTTTTGTTTATGGAATACAATTCTTTTTTTTTGTCGAGTTTCTTTTATTTTATTTTATTTTTGCAAATTTCTACTTACTAGTTTTCTTTGCTCGTTCTTCACTACTCTTAAGTTCACTAATAGCTTCATCTAAATCTGCTTGCATAACTGAAGCTGTTGATTCAAGTTGTCGTTTTTGTGATGATAAATTAGCATTTTGTGTATTTAAATCACTAATACGATCGGCAATATCATGTAATTCTTGTTCAGCAGCTCTACGAGCATGTTCAGCTTGTTCTAAAGCAGTACGTAATTCTTCAATTTCACCTGTGATAATATTAGAACGACGTTCAGCATTAATAGCTGTTTCACGAGCTTCATCACGTTGTTGTCGTTCATGTTCAATTTGTGTTTGTAAATCTGAAAGATTTTGTTGAAGTCTTTTTAATGTTTTTTGTGAATCAATATTTGTACGATTAGCACGATCAAGTGTAATTTCAAGTTCATTAATATCTGATTCAAGTTTTTTTTTCTAAAAGAAAAAATTAAAATAAGAAGAAAAACAAATTTTGATTTTGGAATATTTGAAATTTATTATTTTACTTGTTTAAGTATTTCAACTTTTGATCGTGATTCAGCTTCTAAACTTGCTTGCATTGATTCAATTGTACGTGCATGATTACGTCTTGTATTTTCAAATTCTTCTTCTTTTTCATGAATTCGTCGATCAATTTCTTGACGTATTGTACTTAATTCCATTTGTGTACGAAGAACTTTAGCTTCTTCTTGTTCAAGTGCAGATTCAGCTTCTTCTAAAGCAACTTGTAATTCTTCTTTTTCTAATTCAGCACGTTTACGAGCTTTATCAATTTCATGAATATTTTTTCCACCTTCACCTGATTGATCCATAAGATCCTGTATAATAGAGAATTTTTTAAATTAAGAATTATTTTTCTTGTAAAATTGTTTTTTTTTTTTACTTTAATTTCATCAGCTAAATTTTTATTTTCTTTTCTAAGTGCGTCGATTTGTTCATGTGATTCTTCATATTGATTTTTAAGTTTAAATAATTCAGTTGAATATTGACGTGCTTCCTTTTGGGATGTTTCGAGTTCAATAGTCGTATTTTCACATTTTTGTTTCCATTCATTTATTAATTTATCAAATTGTTTTTGTCTTTTATCCATAGTCGAAGCATCTTAACAGATATAAATATACTATTCTTTATTATCTAAATCATAGAAATCTATTGTATATGTTAAAATTTCTATCAAGTGCTTAGATAGAAAAATTCCATGTATAAAGAATTTCAAACGTTTCGTCTGATGAATTTCTATGAATAATGTCAACGAGTGATTCGAGACAAACAGTCGTTAGTAACTTGTCTAGGTTCATTCAGAAGATGGTGATTCTAGGGTTTCCACACGTTGCCTTATGAATACGCGTCAAAAAACGCAGCTACACACCAACGGCGACTTCAATAGGTTCCGATGAAACAAGTAGAAGTCTAAAAAAAAAAGATTTGTTCTCATACTCTGTTCTTATTAAGCTATGACCGTTTTGATAGCTTTTTACCCTAGAGCAAAGTATTTATAGAAAAAGCGAATTATGGATTTTTCCTCTGAAATTTCATGCATAGACAAGTCTTATCGTTATTAGAATATGTTAAAAATTTTAAACCAAAAGAAAAGATTTTTCAGATATTAGACATTCAGAAAACTATCATATATCGCAAGAAAAAGCTAAAAACGAAAAAATCAAGAATTGCTAGTATTCGATATTTCAAGAACAAATTCTTTTGGAATGGAAATTTTTAAGACATTCTAATAACTGTTAGACTTGTCTATAAACAAAATTTTAGATCATTCATTACTTTGTAATCCGGTTTTTCTATTAATCGCTTGTTATAGCTAACAAAGCTACCAAAAAAAGTCATAACTCAATAAAGATAAAGCATGGAAACGAATTCTTTGAGGATTCTGCTTACAGCAAAAATATCAGCTTGATTAACAATTCATACTTAGGGACCGTCCTTTGTAAAAGAAAAGATAGAAGGTTAGTTTTTGATCGAAGAAGGAAAGTTGAACATCTATGAATCTGACTAATAGACATGTTTGTCACAGTTTCATCATTTGTCTGAGGAAAGAATCAGCTAATTTTAGGACTTGAAAATTTTTAATACAATATAAAATATCATTGTTATTATGAAATCTATGAGTTTTAATTTGTGCACTGGATTTTTTGTTAATAAAGCTCGTACAGTTAGAAAAACTTCTTTTCTGTGAATGATTCTTATCCAGTTACTTATCATTACATTGCCACAAAATAATATTAATACTATTATTTTTCATACTACTCAAATTTTTTTTGAAAGTTTGGAATTCATATGTATTTCTTAGGATATTGTTCATTATTTTCAAATTATTATAGTGTAGTTTGTAAGAAAAAGGAAACCACAGATCTCAAAACTTTAGAATTCTTTTGCTTTGTTTTTTATTCATCATCTTGTCTTATGCATCGTTAGAGAAATCACAGATAATATTTCTATAGATATCATAGTTTGATAATAATTCCTTAACTTATTGGATCAACGCTATTGAGTTAGAGTTGTCCTAGATTTTTTTTTTGTTTCATACAAGACCTTTGTTAAAATTTAAGCAATGGTTTTTTTTTTACTCTCAGGAAATTCATATAAAAATATTTTTTTTTAAAAGTTAAAAAATATACTAACTAGTATTAGCACGTTCAACATCAACCATAAGATCTTCAACTTCACCTTGAAGACGAGTTTTAACTTTTTCTAAAGCATTACATTTATTCAATGCTGCTTCGACTTGTTCTTCAGCTTCAGATAATTTTATAGCTAATTTTCGTTTTGCTTCTTCGAGTTCTTCACTACGAGCAATACCTAAAAACGCAAAAAAAAAAGAAAATTTTCGTTTTAGAAATTAAATTTAATGATTAAACCTTCAGATTCATAACGAGCTTTCCATTGTTGTATTTCAACATTAAGTTTTGCAATTTGTCGTTGAAATTCACTTTTCATTTCTTGTTCTTCTTCAAGTTGTTCTCGAGTTTGTTCAAGATCATCAGTTAAATGACGTATTTGTGAACCTCAATTGATATTCAAAGAAATATTTAATCTTTAAAAAGAAGACTTTAAACTTACCAACTGAACCTTTACCACGTAATTCTTCATCAATTGTTCTTTTAGCTTCATCAAGTTGTTGTTGTAGTGTTGTTTTAGCTTTTGTTAAACTATTAATTTGATGTTCAATTTCTTCAAGTTGTCGAACTAAATCAGAATTTTCACTAGATAATTTTGATTTTTGATGATTTAAATCCGTAATTTGTTTAATATGTTCATCAAGTTTAATATGTATTTCATTTAATTGTTGTTCAAGTTGTTTGGATAATTTTTCAGCAGTTATTTTACCTTTTTGTATATAATCAATTTGTATACGAAGATCATCTAATTCTGATTTCATTGTTTGTTTATCTTTTTCTAATTTATTTTTTAATTTTTGTAATTGATCAATTTGTTCTCCCATTTCTTTCGAAAGAAAAAAGAAGCTGTTAGTACAATCCTTGCGAGAATAAAATATGGAACACGATTTAGTTGCTGTTGTTAATCATAGAGAGATTGTTTTATTCTATCTATTTTGGGACATATTTCTTCATCATCCTCTTACTTTATCCTTCAGAAATGCATTAAGAAAGTACTTTATTTATTATAGCGAAATGTTATTGATATACGATCTTTGATCGTATATCAACAACGTTTGTCACAGTCTGCGACGGAAGAGAAGGGAGCACAATGCGTATTTTTCGCATAGCAGGTAAGCATGTAACTTTTTTACTCGGAAACGAAATTCTTTGCTCAGATATGATTGAATATGACGCAGAAAAGTATGTTTTGAGGAAAAAGTGTTTCAACTAAAAACGCCTGAGAGTACGCTTGCTATCATTTTTTCGAGAAAAAAATCTTTTTTCTTTAAAATTGTTTTGTATTATAAATTTGAAAAAGTTTGGAGCTAGGATGTGGATGAGTTGTTCATTTTACGAAACTAGCCATTCGGATGACGCTGTAGAAAGAAAATGTTGGTTTTTTTCTCAGAAGTGAAACATCCAAATTATAAAAATATTTTTCACCATTGTACAAAACTCGGCTTCGACCTTCAGAGAATGTATTTGATTTGTCTGTCGAACAGTTTAATTTTTGGACAACTGATTTTTAATTTCTTTAAGGGTTATAACAAAGTTATTTATATCATTGGATGGAACACATTTTGAAATATATTTCCTTATATTTATTCTCAAAAATTTCTCGGATGGGAAGCGTTGAAAATTTTTTTCGTTGGATCGTAATGGAGGAATACACCGTTTGATGCAGAATCTGATGCTATTGACGAGTATCTGATGACTTATAACTTCCTTTATATTCATCCTGATTTAAACTGTGATTTTCGAAAAATCGATGAAACTTCGTAACGGCCGATATTTTCTAAATAATTTAGCACGAGCGAAAGGAAAAATCAATGAAATTTTAATCGATAGTAGATCTATGTAAACAATCCCTATCTATAATAAAAGTTTTAAAGAATTTCATTTAGACATTAACGAGAAATCGATGCTACAATGAACAAAAAAAAATGAAATTCCATAACGCTTGGCTACGTCATCATGTCTATAATGAACTGTTTCTAACATGTCTATCGTGGTTTGGGAGTGGGAGGGAGAATTACAAATATCTACCCTTTATACTACAATATTCCTTTTCGATCGTGTTTCACAAAACATTCAAAAACAATTAGAAATAAATAAATAAAAATTACCATTAACAGCGTCTTGATGTTTTTTTCTTAATTGTGCAGTTGTTGCTTCATGTTGAAGATTAGCTTCTTCTAAATCTCGACGAAGTTTAGCTAATTCTGTTTCACGTTTTTTATTCATTTCAACTTGTGTTGATGTTGCACCACCAGCTTCTTCTAATCGTTCATTCATTTCATCAATTGTTCTTGCTAAATCACTTCGTTGTTTTTCACTTTTATTTCTTAATTGTCTTTCATTTTCAATTTCTTCTTCATATTCTTCAATACGACTTTGTAATTCTTTGATTTTTTTATTAAGATTAGTTGTTTGTCCTTGTTCAACTTCAAGACGTCCATTCATTTGTTGTATTTCTTGATCTTTACGTTTAAATTGTTCTTCTAAATCATGTTTTGATTTTTGTAAATCTTCAAAATTATTTTGTAATGTTTTTATATCATTTTCTAATTTTCGTTTATTTTTATCTAAATCATTACGAGTCTTTTTTTCACGTTCTAAATTATCTTCTAATTCATCAAGTGTTTGTTCAAGTTTTGTTTTTAATTTATTTAAATGATTAACTTTATCTTCTTCACTTTGTAATTGTTCATTTACTTTAGAATTTTGTTCTTCAAGACGTTTACGTTCACGTGTTAATTTTGCAATTGTTTCATCTTGATGTGCAATTTCATCTTGTAATGTATGAATTTGATTATCACGTGTTTTACATTCATTATCAGATTTTTGTAAATTTAAACGTATATCATCAATATCTTTTTTTAAACTATCAATTTCATGTTCTAATTTTTTTCGTTTATTATTTACTTCTTGATTAATTTCTTCTTCTTGATTACAACGTTCTTCTAAATCTTTGATTTGTTGTTCAAGATCAGCTTTTTGTGTAACTAAAAATAAATGTATTAAAACGATTAGAAGTATAATCAATTCGAGATAATAGAAGAACAATGACTGAAACGAATAAAACGATCTTCATTTGGATTCGATTCGATTCGTACTGTTACAGAAAAAGAATATTCTTATTTTCACACATGTTATACCTACAATTTACTTTCTAATATTATTCTCTAAGCAAGTTACTTATTTTTCTATTTACTAACCGACACTGGAACAATCGAAATTTCGTGCATTGAATGCATCTATCAAAATTGAACGAATGAAAATTGATCGCTACAACAATCAGCTGAAAAATTTTATAATACAAGGATAATAGCTTGCTTCTGTAAAAAGATCTTCATTTGAGAAGAATAACTTAAACAAATGTAAAAGAATTAATAGGTAGAAATCGCTCAACAATGTCGAGATTGTTACAAATATGCATTATTCTTTCGATATACATATAAGGTTAAAAATTAAAATATCTTTTTATTATTAAACTTATCACAGCAAAATATTGTTATGAGATTGTAAATAAATAACTATTGAAAAAGTTTTGAATCTATCAAGGAATATTCAAATTAAAGTATACGTCGGTGTCATTTGATTACTCATTCACGACTAGTATTTCTATTTATAATAAATAGACAGACTTGATTATAACTTCTAAACACCTATTCTTTTCTTTTGTATTTATGTAGCTTATTTGAGTGTATAAACAGTTTCATGTAATATTATTAAGTCAATTTACTTAGGATCTATTATACATTTACACCTGAAAGTTCCAGTCTTTGTTCTCTTGTTCCGAGTTTCTCGACTATTTTTCATAACAATTCTTATTCGGTCTTGTCTTGGTTTTATATCGTGCTCAATTATTACTCTATAGCTGTTCAAATAGGATAGTAAGAGCTATCATTGAGTAAATAACTAGAAGATAATAATTAATATTTTATCTTGCTTTTTTCATACGATAACAGATGATCTATATTTCGTCCGTATTTATTAAATTGTGATTGAATATATTTCAACACTTCTTCTATTCTTGATCGTTTCTTTCTTCTCTGATGGGTTTAGTAATCCAGAGAACAAATCGAATAAAGACATCTCCACTCGATTCCGATTTCTATAATAGAACTCCTCCTTCCGGTAACTTAATAACCAATAAATCAAATAATATTGTTCAAGATAAAAGAGTCACTTGATCAGTACTTAGTTAACTATATTTTTAATGTATTCTTTTTAGAGAATACGTGGTCGGCTCTCAACATTATTGAACTATACACATCTATTATCTCTAAAGACTCGAATACATTATGAAATGCAATACAGTCTTGCACTAGTACACATGAAGTCTACAAGAGATTAACTTTGAAAGGAGAGTCGATAATCATTCTGAAAACTTGTATACTATATAATTATATATCAACTTTATGAAACTACCTTGAAAAATAGTAATAAAAAAAAGGGATTCTTCCTTTCGTTCATAAACTTCGGTCTAATCGAAATTCAAAACTTTTTAATGTGATGAATTCTATTTATCAGAGTTGCACAAACAATATATAGATCAGATTTATTGTTGAAAGTAATATGTACTTTCTGTTGTATACTAACTTTAGATTCAATTCATTAAATTCTATAGTTGATTTTCCGGGGGTGGCGCGAGTCAACCAACATTGGGGGGGTGTAGCGAAATTTTTTGGACTAGAAAGACGAAGTCTGCAATTTTTCGGGGGGTGTAACATTGTTTTTGGTGACAAATGGAAGAAAATTTTCTGGTTTTGTTCAGCAAAAAAACAGAAATTTTTGAAGATTGGGGGGGGTGTCGCACCCCCGACTACCCCCCGGTCGCGCCACCCCTGTGATTTTCTTTATCAATAATCAATTTACCTAATCGAGTAAAACGTTCTTCAGCTTCTAATACACCAGCTCGTTCAGATTCTAATTGTTGAAATAAATCATTTTTTTCTGAAATATACAAAAATAAATTAAATTAAATTATTTATTTATTTATTTATTTTTCTAATGAACCTCGAATTAATTTTGCATTATTATCTTCTATTTCTTTTCGTAATTTTTCTTCTTTTTCTAAAGCTTCTTTTAATGCTTTAAATTCTTCTTCAAGTTTTTTCATTTCGTCTTCTTGTCTTGCAACTGATAAAAGTGGTTTTACTTTTGTATATAATATCCACCATGGCCAATTACGTAATGATAAATATTTACGACAATTACGTTGTAAAATAGATAAAGCTAAACGTTGATCTAACATTTTCTTATATTCTTTTCTCATAATATAACCACGTATTTGTCCTTGTAAACTAGCAATAATTTTCGATAAAGCAGCATCACGCAAATCTTCTAATTCACCTAATGTTCCGGCTTTAAAAAATACTTTTGTTGTACCACAACGATATAATTCTTCACTTAATGCAACATCTTTAAGAATATTTTCTGTTGCTTTTTTTGCATCAACAAAACCTTTTGGTATAGCATTTGGTGCCAAAATTGAATAACGTTGTTTAAATTCCGAATAAATCATTCGATTTGGAAAACCTTTACGACATATACGTATACCTTCAAGTACACCATTACATGTTAATTGATGCATAACTAAATGTGAATCAAGTACACCACCAGTTTTTATTTCATTTGGAATAATACAACGAACAAAATGTGGATGAGTTTGTTTTAAATTATTCATTAATTTGTTTAATTGTTCCTAAAGAAAAATTTAATTAATAATTAGAACAAAAAAAAAAAAATCAAAAAATTTACACGATGTGTAGCTGAAATAGTTTGCATACTGCCACCACCTTTCTTTTTTCCACCGGCTGCTTTACCACCAGCACCTTCTTCTTCAACTACATCAGTAAAGAGATGACTTAACATAACATTTTTTGATTTTGCAAAAAGACTAGCACTAAAATCAAAAGAATTTTTTTACGATATATAAAATCAAAAAGTTTTTATATATTTCATACACAGTTGTATTGATAGGATCTTTATTTTTTTCTAACCATGATGTAGCCGTATAAGGAACCGTACCAGCATAATGATGAATTTCAAAGTTTGCTTCAACTTTACCTTTACCAGGTTTTGGTTTTCCAAATTGTGGATGTTTTCCCAAATGATTATTATAAAGTTTTTCAACAAATGTCTTATCTGTAGCTTTAGGTACAATACATTCTTCTTCAAGAATAGAAAGAATTCCCATTGGCTAGAATAAAATAAAATTAGAAATAAAAATGAAAACAAAAAAACAAATTTTCAACCTTTTCAATAAGATCAATACAAGCTTGTAAATCCATTCCAAAATCAATAAATTCCCACTGTATACCTTCTTTTTTATATTCTTCTTGTTCTAATACAAACATATGATGATTGAAAAATTGTTGAAGACGTTCATTTGTATAATTAATACATAATTGTTCAAAACCATTAAACTTAAAAATAAAACAAAAACAAAATTTTCTTCTCAAATTAATTTTTTTAAAAATATTTTACTTCAAATATTTCAAAACCAGCAATATCAAGTACACCAATAAAATATTGTCGTTTAGCTTTTATATCAAGCGTTGTATTAACACGTTCGACTAACCAACAAAATATACGATAATAAATCTAAAACATCAAAAAAAAAACATATATATATATATATATATATTTCCTATTATATCGTGTTTTCTTTTCAACATACTGATTTTGATAAAGCACCTATTGAATTAATTACTTGATCTTTATTTTGACCTTTATTAACATACTCATTTCCAACCTATATTTAATTGTTATGAAAAATTCAACAAAAACTAAATACAATCAAACCTTAATACGAGGTTTAAGTAATCCTTTAATAAGATCAGCAGCTTCAATACCAAGTAAATGTGCAACTTTTTCACATTCTTGTGTACCTTCAGCTTCAGCTTGTTCTTCTCGAGGTCGTTGTTTCCATTGAGAATTCCCAAAATGCATAATAGCTGAAGTACATTTAAATAAATTAATCTTTTCTTCCTACGAAACACAACAAATATTTTTCTAAGACATAATTTTCTTATTGATATAAACCTGAGTAAAACCCAAAATATCAAATGCTTCATTAGTAAGTCGCATTTCTTCAACATCATCAACATTATCAATTGTAAGCATACCTTGAGCAACATAAAAGTATTTTGATGGATCATTTTCAATAAGACATTCCTCTGAACAAATATAGATTCAATCAAAATATTCTCAAAGAAATCAACACATACTGTGATAATCAGGAAATGCATTTGAACAGAGTTGATAGAATATATGATAGTTACGTTCAGCTAAAAGATTCATCAATGATGAATTTTAAGAAATAATTAGAATTTTACCTGGTTGCTAAAATAAAATTAAAAAAAAAAGAACTGTTAGCATAATACCTACAGAATAAAAATGTGAAACATCATGTAGCTACTATTGAAAATCACAGAGAGATTGGTTTTTTTTTCTATCTATGTTGGGACACATTTCTTCACTATCCTTTTGTTGGCAGAACGTTTTTATTTTAGAGTAGGCTCAATATGTTTTATAAAATTCACTCTTTTATCGAACTTATATTTATCAACATGTAACAATAGGACAGATCAGAAAAAAAATTTGCAACCTCTCTAAACCTTGTTCGATCCAATACACGATAGGCTCAAGTCTACTTACACCTTTTGGCTTCACTGTCTATGTTAATCCTTCAGAAATGCAATAACTAATCAGTTCATATATTATAACGAGATGTATGGAGATACAGTCTGTGATCGGATACCAACAGCATCCATCACGATCTGTGAGGTGGAATGTCCGAATTTCTATCGATATATTTCAACACTCCTTATGGATCGTGTTTTACAAAAATTACAAGTTATTATAATCATATATAAATTAACCTACCTGAAAGATAACTCGAGATTTTTCCAATAGATAAACTTCAATATCAGCTCCAGCAATCTTTCCAGCACTACCAAAATGAATACGAATAAATTTACCCTAGCAAAAGATACATAAATGAATATTAAACTAAAGAATCATTTTTCACTTACAAATCGAGATGAATTATTATTTCGAGTAGTTTTTGCATTACCATAAGCTTCTAATACAGGATCTAAGTTAAATCAGTAGATTTTGATGATAATCAAGACAATAATAAGACTTTTACTTACTAGCTGATACAATTTGATCTTCAAGTGTCATAGTTTTCTATTTATTTATCATGAGAAAAATACACAATAATGGTATTTTTGCTTGTGATTTTTCTTACCTTTCCTTCTTCTTTTTTCGCACCAACTGCAGCGACCAAAGCAAAATATTGAATAACTTTTTTCGTATTTTCTGTTTTACCAGCACCTGATTCGCCTGTAATCAACATTGATTGATTTTCACGATCTAAATATTTATTATTAATTCATTTTTGAAACAAAAAAAGAATAAAATTTCTATTTACTCTAAGATCAAATGTCTAAAATTTTTACTAAACTTTCTCGTCTTAGTGTATAAATCTAATCGTTAGATGATTCTTGTCTATTTCGAATAACAGCATTGCATATATATTCAACATTTTACAACAATATTTTTTAAAAGGGACCACGAGAGTCACTATCTCTAAATATGAGTTTTCAAAAATAAAAAGTAATAGACTTTATCTCCTACTGTCTCGAAAAACTGTTCAATACGTGTTACCGAACCTACATTCTGAGACAAATGTCAAACAAGTTTTTAAAATATTTTCTGCTCAGCAACGAAATTTAAACTGATATAAACATACATATGATTTATTTCTGTTTTATGTTTGGAAATTATTTTTTTATTTCATGCGTGTGTAGGCGGGAGCTATGGATTAAAAGAAGGTCCATCCTCAAAAAGTGACTTTTTTACGAAAAATCCATTTTCTTCGAAGAAAGAAACTTCAAAATCATATTAATTGTTGAAGTAAGCACTTTAAACTCTTCAATTACACATTTATCTCAAATTTTATTTTATTTTTTTGATAAAATTTGACATTTTTGAACGAGGAAATGACTTTAAATGACTTTTATAATCAAATAACATCTTTTAGTATTGAGTTTAATTGCAGAAAATAACTTCCACAACCTTCGAAATTTCAAATTCGATATTTTCTGAATTATATTTTTTATATAACACAATAGAATATTTAACAAAATAACCAATTAGGTTTGCACATGGTTAGGTTTCACAATGATTTCTATTTTTTTTTTGTCAATTTCAATTAACTTGATCTATATATGTATATATGTTTGTAATAAGAATTTTTTTTTTTTGTTGTTATCATTATGTCTTGCTGTGCTTATGTTCTTCAAGTGTCATATCAATGTAAAGCATAGCAGTATACTCAATAATCTCTTAAATATCTTATCAATTCTTTCTCATATTCCATATGTTTTTATCGATCACTTTCCTTCAATACATTTAAAATAATATTATTATTAGACATGCAATTAATTTTATGATGAAAGTAATATCTCTTTTCTTAACATATGTTATATATCTTTATCAAACGATTTCCAAATGATAAGTATATTTTTTAGTTTGTATTTATACTCGTATGATAAGAGAGTTTTGTTTAGATTAAGATATTTACCTCTAAGCATATTTGAATAAGCATTATCAGATATAGCATACAGATGTGGAGCAACTTCAGTACGTTTTTTACCACGATAAGCAAGAACAACTTTCATAGTATAAATTGGTAAACGTTTATATGGATTTATAACAACACAAAATAAACCTGAATATGTCTAAAAAATAAAATAAATCTAGAGATTTTATAACGACATAAAAAGACATACGTACATAAATAAGCCATCGTGAATAACGATCACGTAAATTAGCTAAAACTGAAGCATCATTCAGATAGGTTAAATCAGCCATATCATCAGAACAAGAATATTTCGGTGGATTCATTTGTTGAACATCATCTTTTTTAACTGTTCTAGTCTATATAATAAATGTAAATTATTAAATAAAGAATTTTGAACTAAATAAATATATATATATATATACGTACTTCTCCTTTGCTAGTTTTTACTGTAACTTGATCATCTTTTGTACTTTCAATTTCAGCAGCAATAAATGATTCTTTTGGATCTGGTATCCAACATGCTTTTTTAGCATCAAATGGCTGAGATCGAAGTTTAATTTTTTCTTCAGTCGGTAATGCTAAATATTTCATTGATTCTTGAAATTCTGGATCATTGGGATCATGAATCATTCTATTGAAAATAATTAATAAAAATTTTCATACTAATCAATACGTACCCTTCGCTCGCCATAGTTGCAAAAGAATAAGATTTTCTTTTAATCTGATAATATGACTTATGAAGAATGAGTATTATTTATGTCACCAGATCTTATATAGTCTATAAATCCAAGGATAAGAGAAGAGAATCTCATTGATACAAAAAAAAAGAATAGTAGTTCTCTTTTCATCGTGTTATTTTTCACTCATATGTGATGACTTGATTATATATATCGTATGCATAAACTCAATAGATGGTCTCTAAAAATAAGAGAGTGATTGCATATCCTATATGTCATTAGTAGATAATAATATTATGGTTTGGTTTATCTCAATTAAGGATGAAATTGAGTAAGAATTTGATCTGTCATGTTTGCAATTTGACTTTTACTTAATATAAAAAACTCATTATTCATATGTGATATCGATTTAAAAACGAAACAATTTAAGAAAATGTTATGGAAAATTCTGGTAGATGCAACGATGAGCAGATCTTTATAGATTTATCACATAACCATTAGTTCAAGCATTGAAATTGTTCTAGTTAAGAAAAAAAAATTTTTTTTCAATTTTAAATAAACTTTTCATAACTGAAATGCATGATAAATGAAGTGTTAGTGGTATTTTATTAAAAACTTAACAAAAATCATAATTTTTTATTGATTGATGAAGTTTTAGACTTCTAAATAATTTAATTCCCATTATTTCAAGTTTCAGTCGCGTTGAATAACTAACTTTAACAATTGGAAATGCAATGATAATGCAATTATTAACACAGTTTAGAGAAAATATCAATTTAATTCACATAACAGATAAAAATAATTAATCTCACACTATTATTAAACATAATTATATTTTTTGATTTTATTCAAATTGTTAATAAATCTAACTTGAATATTCGATCAGTAATACTCATAGTCATTAGGAGAGTGAACACCAAACGCTACAAATAATACATATGGCTTCATGAAATTTTGAAACACATTTAAACGGGTCCTAGTTAATACGTGTTAGAAATGCATTTTTAAGCGTTGCAAAATTAAAATGAGAAATAATTTTCGTAACGAATAATTAAGAAGACTATTGCAAGTTCCAGTGTTATTTATTGTTTTTTTTTTCTTTTAATGTATTATCAAACCTTTGCCCATAGATTACTTTCAACTTTCTATATTAGTTCTTACTAAATTTGTGAAGTTTTTCTTGAGATATATTTATCTATAACAATTATTTCATCAATATTCGCATTGTGTAATAAAATGTTGATAATATATCTCATTAAATATTCATATTTATTAAAAACATATAAACAAAAAATGCATATGTCGATTTCAAACCTAGCAAAATCATATAATTATTGATTTACACAATAGAACTCTTCATAGACTTTTTTTATCTGAAATACATTAATATGGTCTCGCTATCAAAAGCATTCTGTACTTGAGTTTATTCTATATACATTTAAGGCGAAATCTGTCAGAACACTAATCAACGTAAGCAGGAATTGGCTGCGGAAAAGTTTTAGATTTTGAATTTGATTATTTCATTCGAAAGCCCATAAAAAGTTATTATGAAAATCCAAATATTAGTTCATCTTGGTTAAAAATGGCAAGGATCACAATTCTTCAAAATTTTGGATCATATTCTCAAATGATAGAGACTTTTTTTCTTTACAAAATATAGGCTATTTCTATTATTTTTCTTTTTTTTTTGAGTGCCATTTTTTATGAGAAAGGGATCAAGTCAGAGAAAAATAAGAATACAGTTTCGTTCATGAATTTTAGTAGTATCATGGAAGAGCTATCAGCTGGGATTTTAGATATGTTGTAGTCCTAACCACGACGTATCTTTTAGTGTATTTTTCTTTGAGAAATTTTACGACGAGAAGGTTATCAAACTTTTCTTCGAGAAAGATCGAAGGTAGTATTGCTTTATTCCTGTGACAATATAGCATTATTGAATTATTTCATGTATAATTCGAGAATGCAGTTATTTAGATAGTTTGAAGTTTTATAATCCGAAAGATAATACGAAGGTTGATGATTCGTGTTATATTTGATGAATTATTGAGTTCGTCATCATTGAACACTTTTCGTTCAACAACTGAAGAAATTATAGAATTAAGTTTCACATCTTGTTAGTTGGCACCGATATAGAAATCATAATATTTTGACAACTTTCTATTGTCAAATTTTAAAACAGAATTCTGATTTTTTTCAATGGACGTTGTATCACTATAACAAATGAGAATTGTTATTCAAATATCTAAAATATATACTAACCTTTACAGAGTGACAAAAGAATAGTACCAAACCAGGAACCATTCTGTCAATAAAAAAACAAGTCTTTGTATAACAAAAGTTGCGAGGTAGATAATAAAAAATAAATCATAGATGTCAGATTTCGATAAAATGTTAAAACTGTCCAAGATTTAATCCAATCGCTTATGGTTTCTTGAACTTTATGTTAGTTACTAACATTAACAATAAATGGGTCTTGGAAAAAAAAGGATCTAGCTCAAATATAATTCTTTTTTTTCGCATTTTCATATAACTTCTTCTATGTCTAAATATTAAAAAAATATGTTCTTTTTTCCTAATTTCTTTAAAAAATTTTTCTATTTCATATTATTTATGTTTAGGAATAAAAGGTCTTTCAATTAATTTATTAGATGAATCAAATATTTTATTTAGCTAAGACTAAATATATAAATTTTCTTAAATAAAATTTGATTTACTTTGTTCAGTACACTTTAATGTTCGATTTTCATTTATAGTCCTTAGTGATAAAAGATCCAAATATGAATTATTTTTATGATCTTTTGAATTATGACAATTCGTTGTTGTTTCGATAATAACTGAAGGGATATTTGACTAAATAAGGAAACCAACGAACTAATTCTAATTAACGGACGATGCAGAGGTTCTACATTAATTCTGTTTTGAATGTGGTTTAGTGAAAAGAAGATCGACATCTCATATCCACACATTTGAATTCCTAGTTCCAAGTTTCAACCACATTTATAAATTTTTCGACCGGAATCAGTTCGCGCACTTTCGCTTGAGTACATTAGAAGAGTCGTTTATATGAAAATGTTTCGGGTCCTCACAACAAAATATAAGTTTTTGGTGGCATTGCGAATGTTTCGTATATCTCTTAGAAAATTTTCTTTTGCCAAGATAATCTACGAAAAGATTGAGTAAGTTTTCTTCAGATATACCTGTAGAAAATCTTTGTAGGTTTTATAAACGTGTCGATCTTCTTTCAACTCAAAATTTTTTTTCAAGATGACAGTATGTCCTCACTATGTTGCTTCATTCACCGCAATTACTTTCTACAAAATTAATTGGTTGTACACAAGTATATTGTATAATAAAATCTCGCAACATTTTGCCTGTATGACGAAAAGTCCGGTCACTCAGTTAAAACCCTCATGTAAAAAATTAGAAGTTAAATTTTCATGTTTAGTATAGAAATATTTTCAAGGCTATTTTCGAAACAATTAATCATATAAATTAACAAATACATAACTGTTAAAAGCCGTCTATTAATTATGAACAAGTAAATCAACAGATTAATCTAATCCAACAGAAACAAAAAGGCTATTCAATAGTGTGGTGGAAAATAAACAAACACTTATACGATATACTGATCTAGAATTACAGATGTTTCAAAAACTTTCAACATTGTAAAAGTTAACGAGATTAAGAAGTGAAAGTGTTTCAATTACTTTGATCATCTATAATGTCATACTTTTATTTCAGCAATTCGAGAATAAAATACAAAACTCTTCACTTCCTTCTACCTCAATAATCATATCGATTGAAAGTTAAAAAATTCGTTTGGACATTCCAAAAGAAATGATCAACATACGTCGAAAAGAAACGTTGATGAGAGAAAACAGAAATAATAAATGTAAGAAGTATCGAACTAATAGATGTCCATTATAGAGACATCTACGTGATGATTAGGAAAATGCGCTATTAAGTATATGCATGATATATATATGGCAGAGTATTGGTCAGAGACAACATAGCAGTGGAGAATTTAATGCGAATGGATTTTGATCTTTCACCCGATAAATTTTTGATCTTTTTCTCAACAAAATAACACAGAATAGGATTCGAAAAGTGTTCTTTTTTTCCAAGAATATCTCCTTCCTTCTATCCTTCAGTCCACATCGGTCAATGAGGGTAAGGGTGGTGTAAGAATCTTCTCTCTACTGAACCCATACCTAAGTGCACAAGTTCAAGTTCATATATGTGAAACTTTGATCCCATCGGTAGTGGACAGTAACAATCAAAAGAGTTCAATTATTTTTCAACAAAATTGCTTTTCATTTCAATCAGTTTATCAATAAACATAAAGTAAAAAATCAATGTCTATATGATGGTTACTGAATATCAAGTTCAATTTAAAATGAATATCAGTAACAAAAAGAAATTGACTCAAAGGCAAACTGTACTTTCTGTTGTCTAATATTTTGTAAGCGACATACTTATGTTTCAGTTGGGTGTCATCATTTTGAACATTCACTGTAAAACAAATTACAAGAAACAAAACTTCAAAGAACTTTCTATCATGTTATAAAAAATACAGAAATCGCTTTTATTGTGTAACATATATCTATGTTTACTTTTCCGATGAACTTTTGGTACATTCTGTATATTGAAAATTATCAATTTTTGTATCGTCTTAAAAAATATTTTCATTTTCATACTCACATAAGTTTTTTTATTCAGGTATGGAATAAAACACGAAGCCTTTCCTAGAATAGGTATACTTTACTAACTATCAACAGTCGTATCTTGGAATAGATAATGAATGAAGAAGTTGATCATTGTTGTTCATTGCATATTTGTGAACGATGTCCACGACTTTACATTATAGAGAAATGCACATTACTGTTTTCGAAATGAACTTTCTTGCACAATAATGCATCTTTGCTTTGGTTGCATTCACTCATGATATCCCTAGTGAAGGTACTCATCAAGAGAGTATTCAAAAAGTACTCACGCTAGAAAATGCCGTGAGAAC